GGGGGGGGGGGGGAGTAGGGATACTTCTAGCCATTTCATGTGAAGGGATCTGTGATAAGCTTCAGCTGAATGGGCCACTTAGCTCAAATACAGACATGGCCTTCTATAAAGTTGAATATCATCCCCTATTTTTGAAGTCAGCAAACAAGGGTTGAACTCACCCAATTCTATGAAAGATGGCAATTTTAATTACTTCCCACTTTTCCCGCACTTGTTGACAGATCTTGCGCATCTCTGATCTAGCCATAGGTATGTAGGCTTCATATTCCAAGCGCACCACTGTTTTTCCTGAGAGAAAAACTTGATATTTATTTGAAAAGAAATATAAAGTAAATATCATTTCTACTTCGGAGAGAGTAGCTTTGTAGCACTTGACACAACCCAACAATTTTGGAACAATTACCAGTTATTTGATGTAATAAGACTTAGAAAACTGTTGACATTAGTAGACTCAATTCTTATTAATGATGAGCGAATTTTGCTCAATGGAGAACTCTGGTCATAGGAATAATTATGCTGTTGACAATGGGAGGGAAATTCGCAAACTACAGCAGTTTACAGTCAGTTCCTAATTGTTTGTGGACTGAAACACTTTCTATTGATTGAAAGATGTAGATTAGTACTAACAAACTTTAATTCTCACATTTTCTTTTTTGTAAATACCATGACAGGTAACGTACAATCAGGAAGAAACTCATTCACTTACCATTAAAATTATCTCTTGTTGTTCCTGAAGGAATTTAAAACACAAGTCATGTCATGATCATGATTGTTCTCCAAAATAGTACATGACATTGCCTTGGGTAACTTATTTAACCCCTCACAGTTAAACACCAATATACAAATTCTCCATGCTGTTTGCTATTCATTTCCTATGGTATTTGCAAGGGGAATTTGTCTAACTGTCAAGGGCATGTTAAGTTCGCAATCATTTCCTGTGTTCTCATGGGGAAATGGTGTCCAACTGCTCTAAGGAGAGCTTATAACAATATATAAAAAAAACTAGGCTTACCTACAAACAGAGAGATTGCTCCAGCACTTGGAGCACCAACAATTTCTGTGACCTGATCAACATGAAGATGATCTGGTGTTATAACAATTGTATCATCTGCCATGTGTAAACTGTGTACTTTTCCTTTACTGAAAGGAAACAGATTTGAGTAAGGAGTTGGGTGAAAAATTTATTGCTGGTGCATTATTGGTAATTCTTGTGTTTTGAAATGCTCCAAAATCAATCAGTTACATTGTTCAACACAGGTGGAGGCCACAATTTGAAAGCAACTTGGCATGCAAGCGAACTCAAGCATCTTAGTTCAAGTATGAAATTTGCATGTTCATTGATTTTATTAATATTTTGTGGGAAAAGAACCATTTTTTGTCACAAGGAAACTAGTTGATGTTTTGTGAGTGAAGTTGCTATACTTGCTGACGTGATCTTGTTGTGATGGGGGTGAACTGGTAAGGAGGGTAAACTTGTAAGGGGTGGGCCTGCAGCAAACTTTCAGAGGAGCAAACCTTCCTCCATTTTGAAATTCACTGAAAAATGTTATAGTGTTAATAAACTAGGGTTTAATTAATGTTAGTGTTAATGAATTGGGATTTAAATAATAGGAACCATCACCAGGTGTAAGATGCATGACATGAGAGGTCCCAGAGAGTAAACATATATAGCTAAGTTGCATGCATATTGAGTGTGTGATATATTAATTGTGTAACTGCATGTAGTTAGGTAGTGATCATTAAAGTTCAGTCGGCTGTTTTAACCAAGGATTGGCATCACTTTTCCGCATTAAGACACAACAAAAAACAATTATTAATTTAAAACCACCTTAATGAAAGAAATATGACTTGCATAACTAAATAAACTTAAATGAATAAAGAGGGTAAGTTTTCTAAGAAACTGTGGTACTGCATCAGTGAAGGGTATTTCACAATAATTTGGTGTTATCAACTGAGTTGATAATGTAAATTAGCCGCCAGAAAAGAAACCCTTCATAGTGGCACATTGACATTCAATTTGCAACCCAGCTGAGTGCATAAAACCAAATTATACTAAAGCCATCCTCTATTGAGGTCATGTTCCATTAAATTATATGAAAAAATAAACCATAACTGCAAATTTTAATATAAATTGTATTAATTTTTATCTGTTGTTCCAAGCTTATTTTAAAGATTAAAGATTCATCACATTTCGCACATGGATGATCAATATCTTATAGTCACATATCCTACCTCATTTTTATGTCCACAAATATTTCAAACAAAATCTATATCACAAGCTTGACAAAAATCAGCCGCCAACAACCTTCAGAGTCAGAGAGTTTGCTTAAAAGAATTTTTGCGAAAAGCACGAACCATCCCTGCTGTGTTAGTGGCATACAGAAATAATTATAATATTGTCACGTCTGTTTTGTATGTTTATGGACTACTCAGACTTACCCAGCTGAATACAACTACATCTTAGTGCTTAGCAACAAATTAATCAGTAATACCAATATTATCATCAGAAAGAATTAAGTTACTGTTCCATCATATTGAATTCCTTACACACCTTTCAGTTACTATAGGAACTGTTGAAGATGGTAAAAATTTAAAAATGATATCATTGTATGCTAGGAATTATTCAAGCTTCAAAAACTCATTAATAATCATTAATATAAAGATCACGTTAATTATAATACTAAATTATTCCCCAAAAGGCAGCATATGAAAACATTAATTGCAGTAAACAATTAACAAAGTTTATTTTCCTGATAAATTCTTGTCAGAACAGAAATTCGTTCTTTTACAATTTCCCATTGTTCACAAAATTAATTGTGCAGTTTTGAATACTGTCAACTTCAACTCTAAATCCTATTTCCTCCAAGTTGGCGTCTTTATTTCTTCTTGAACTTTGCCACTCACCAAAAATTTTGTAACCCACTTTGTGCCATACCAAGTGGCCCTTGGAACACAACTATCCAAGTAATCTTTCTCTTCCTTCACATTTTTTGGTTCTCAAAACACGCATTTGGGCGGCATTTCAAGGAAAAGCTTTCTGAACTTTAACAGCAGCCGAACAAGGAGCACTTTTCCCCTCTGTATGTAATTAACTTTTAATGCATTCAAATCACGTTTAGAAAATCCCTAGAGAGGTACGGGTTTTTGAAGTTATTTAATGCATTCATATAAACTTTGGAAAAATCCCCAGAGAGGCACAGGTCTTTGACGCTATTTAAAAAACCCACAGCACGTGTTTTATCAGGTCTAAAAACATGAGGCGTACCTGATAAAACTGCTGTTCGTTTTTTAAATAGTAATTAAGAATTCAAGTCAAAATAAAGTTGATCAGGAAAGGAAATGATGGGCCAAAAATTAGCAGTGCACTCACATCTGACTGAAGGACACAAAACAATCAATTTAAAATCTCAATATAATATGCAGAATGCTACACAATACTCTAAAGCTTTGATTATTAATGAAGAGAACATTCACTGTCTATAATCGCTGAAGCAAAAACTGAAAGTCTGTCAATTGGAATAAGATGCATTTTGACTACAGTGTTATTTACACAAAATCTGATTTTTGGGAACATTCATTTGGATAACTGTAAAAAGGTTGAAGAAGGCATCTTAATGGAGTAACTATGTTTCACAGTTCCACTTGTTTTCTTCCATATTGATTATAATATGCATTTTAGATCCTATTGAATCCATATATAATTTATCAAAACAAATTTGGTGAACTTGTAAATCAGCTTTTGACAGCCCCATTTCATTTATATATGTATAAATAAATATAAATCAGCATTACTGAGAGAAAATTATATTATTAAATAACTTGACTGCGTGAGAAAATTTTGGCTTGTGCCTTACAAGACAAATTCGTCAAACATGTTTTACTTAAAAATATGTAAAACTGTTTCATTTTAAAGCCACGATCTTGTTATTGTGATGAAACTGCAAAAATAATGTCAAGAGCATTGTCAATTCAAAGGCTGAGATGAACTATATTTGGCAGACATCATTAATTAAAATCTTTTGTTTTTTTAGACAAGTCAGCTTGTGTTTAGAGTAGAATAAGGATAAGCAAGAACAGTTCTATATTGACAAACATCTTATGTTAGATGTGATAACCTGATAAAATTTTCAACAAGTCTTTTTGGTGATTCTGTGGATAAAGTTTTAAGAAGGCTAAACAGAGAAAATTTTTTAGGCAGAAAACACCATTTTAACTGGTTGATGATTTTGACTCTGGCAATTTTCATCCCCCCTGTTTTTTGTGAGGGAAAGAGAAAAATGAAGAGGCTGTCAATTTTCACACAGATGTTTTAAAAAGAAGTGAATTCTTTTTCATTGATTCCAATATCATACAATAAGTTTTATCCTCTCCTAGGATATAGATCAACTGTCCTTGACAGTTGATGTCAGTCATTCTCTTTTTCTAACAATTCAATCAGCAGCTATTGGTATTTTCTCAATCAACTGGATAATTGCCAACCTCAAAATGGTGATGACCACATTGATGGCTGTTGTTACACCTGCTTAGAAATGCTCAAGTCCTGCAGGCATTGGTCAAGAAATCAGTCTCAATTTGTCAAACACCTTCAATTATAATTGTATTTGCACTGATCAGCAATATAATTTGAATAGCCAGAGCAGATTGCTTATCTTTGAGAATTAAAGGTTTACCATCAGTTGTTGCAGAAATTTGTTAACATCTGAAAATTTATTTTTGGATAATTTTTTGCCATATCAAAGCTTGTTATTTTTATTGACTGTGAATTGGTCACTTCTGTAGCTGGCTGAATACTTAAAATACTTCGGATCCTTTTTAGCCCCTTTTTACAAATAAGTCACATATTCCTTCTGTTTAAATTAATACCTTTCTTCTTTCATTTCAGCCACCGCTGATTGGTGGGATTATTGCGACTTCTTCACCTCCCTTGAGGTTAATTTCTGACTCCTTTTCGATGTAGTGTTGATTCACAGCGATCACAAGGTTTTCCTGAATAACTGAAAGACTTAAGACACACGTGCGTTCGGTTAATGAGTTTATATTCAACAAAGGGTACCGCAAATCGATTAAAACGAAATTTAACTTATTGAAATGTGTGCTCTACCACAGTGCAAGATGTTTTGAGCATATTGTAAAGAACTCTGACAGAGCGCACGCAATCATCAACAAAGCAGTGATCCACACCGATCATTGACTCAGAAGATTCGCCTTACCTCGGAAAATGGTTGAGGATACTGGCTATCAGATCCCTTCCTCGAAGTCTCTTACCAATAAATATTTGTGCCGAACGCTGTTCCACCAGTTCACGGCTTTTAGCGAAGAACAAAACAGTTATCTATTGAGTGAAAAACAAAAATAACTCAACTTCTTCATCTTTTAGTATAAGCAAATTCGACTTATGCAAATATGCTCAATGTAAACAAAATAATCTGAGCGAGCACGGACACAATAACGCATGAGGTACTTGTACAATAACAAATCGAAACGTGAACACTTGCAAAAATAAACCGAACTCTTTCGGGAGAACATTGCGACAGATTAGCATTAAGGGAGTTTTGGAAGAAAGGATTATGTTCGGTTTTTACTTTAAGATTAGCTTAATTAGTAGGGTAATCCGAACGAATCGCACACTTCCTTCCCAATAGCACACCTTCAACACATTGGGGTCGATACGATCTCTTGGATGCTTCATTTTATTTTGTCGCCGCGATTGATTTACCGCGAGAAAAACCACCTCTCGCAACATATAGCTATCGATTACGAAATTGTTGACTTTTCACGTCTTAACAGGCATGAATGATTACGTCTCCAAGGACAAATACAATGTCTACAGTTGGAATAATTTTTACGATACTGAATCGTAGGTAAGTTGAGAAATCGTCTCTATTTCTCCTTAACGCATGGCTTGGCAAGACGAATCAGCAATCAAACATGACTATCTAACCTCTACTTTGTCTGTCCCATCGTTATTTACGTGATCCATCAACGATTTGAAAAAAATCGCATCCGACGTCCACAAGGACAAATATCAGTTATTGAAATCAGATGAAAAATGAGGTGATATTATAAGTTAACTACAAAATCAACCAGGCGTTGCTAACTGACATGGAGTGTTTTAACAAGATGTTTGATTGGTTAATTTCTGTTATCCAATTAAATGTTTTGATAAAAATGCAAGATTGATCGCGAAAATTGGCGGGAAATTTAGGCCGAAATTCGTTTGGAGTTTCTCGTATGAGATTTAGACACACCTCAAATTAACAAACTAAATAGACATTTTGAAACGCACATCCACATTACACTCGAGAGAAAAAAAGACGTAGACAAAATAGTCTCAGGTAAACTTCGCAGACGCCTCTTCCCTCCAGGGCAGCTTTAATTCTATTTGTGTTACTTTTTTTTTATATTTGATTAAATTACTATTTTTAATTTCTTTTAAAAGCATCAGGATTTTTTACTGCTCCCGGCTTTTCTGTGATGTATTTAATATTTTACCATGGTTCGCAGATTAGTCTATATGCTGAAATGTGCAAACGGAAGGGACAACTTCAGTTAGGCTCGATTTCCGCCGCTCTCTCGAGTCTGGTCTTTTTCGTTGTTCTCCGAGTTCGGGGAGGAGCGCGGGTTCCGTTTCCTGAACAGCGGCTGGTAATCGATCCTAACTTCAGTGTAGACTTCGAGCAGTCCGTCCCTTTCGGTGAACACCGTCGCGCGAGTCAAGTACTTCACAGACAAAATATGATTTTCGCGCGCCGCGCGGAACTCTGGGAGGGAGGCACACAAATAGTGTGAAAGTTGACGGTCATTTCGACATGTTCAGCGGGGAACATCAGAGGAAAGCATCAGAGAAAAGATATTGTGCATTGCGAGAATTCTGAAAATGTTCCCTACCTTGGTAAATTTCATACCCAGGCGTTTTCTCTTTCCTCATCAAGGGCGGAAAGCCTGGAAAGGGTGAGTAACAGCACGTGCACGCATCGGTGACGTCTTGGTAAACCCATGGCTCACAGAGCACAGTGTAGTTCAGCTTTAAGGAAACCGAGAAAGCCTTGTGACTAGGGCCCCTCAACTGATCCTCTCTCGTAAAAAATAAACTAAACAAAACAAAACAAAACAAAAAAACCGAACAATCCTTTCACCTTGACTTAGGACTTTAGGTACTTAGGTTTATTCCAGTTGATCATTTCAATATTTTTCTACAATTGTACAGTACCTTTATTCAGCAAAATTATTTTAGTTCGCCTTCGGTCAATTTTAATCATATTTAAGAAGTTAAACATGATAGTTTATCTTTTAACTGATACCAAATGATGTTTTATTTCAGTCATTTTCTTTCTTTCTCAATACTCGTGACTAAAATCAGGTCATTTGTATTATCTTGTTCTTGAAAGAAACCAATCAGCAACTTTTTCCATTAAGTGCTAAATACGACTTTAGGGATGTTTACCTCATTAATTTTCATATCATAAAGCAAAACAAAAAAAGCGGCCAAATGTTTCTGTGCAAAAGAACTTGGAGATTTGTCGGTAAGTTCTTTTATCGTAATCAGTTTTGACGAACAAGTTCTTTCTTTGCATTTCTTTTTTTGACAAGCACACTGTCAACACTGTCAAAGGAAAATTGCTCAGTAAATCTTGCTTAAATAAGTTGGAGTCGTGTTTACATTATGAATACCCTTGACATTTTCCGCACCTCGTTTCCCGATGTCGTTCAAAACTTTGCCAAAATGTTTGTCATTAAAGTTGGATTTGGATAACTGCAAACAGTGTTTTAATTCAGTGCCATATTTTTAAATAACCGATTAAAGTTTTTCTCCCTGCAATCCAATCGCATGATTTAATTCAATTTGTGCACGCAAAAACGACTTAATGAATACGAAACATATTAGCAAATGAGATAATTGTTCAGTATAATCTGCTTCGTTTAATCTTTCCTAAAATCCTTTTCATTTATTCATGTTGATAATTATTTTCTTAAAATCATCGTCATTTTCCAGGAATATTTTCCCAGAGTTCCGATCGCCTAAAAAACTTCACAGATTCTATGGAAAAATATGAGTACCAAACCGATGCGGTGAACTGTTTAGATTTGTCTCCAATAAATACATGATTTTATCAATATTAAGAATGTCTACTAGAGTAAAGAGCAAATATTATGGCGGAATATATATATTTTTCACTCTAGGTTCACCATCATTTTAAGACAGTAAACAAAATTTTAATCGAACTCGATAAACGTTTCCGTTTTTCGAAGTGATCTGTAGGGTGCCTTGCACAATCGATTTTATTACAGTCGTCGCTTTTCCTTTGTATGTTTTTCAACACCTATCTATTTTCGTCAGCGATATTTAGTAATTAACACCTTTTGTCTTGAAGTTGTTTACCTTAAAGGCGCTCCTGGTATTTTCGTGTTTCATAATAATATTTTTAGTATTGTTTCTTTTTATTGATAACGAACAAACTTTTTCAATTTTATTTCCCTCTAATTTTTCCTGAACGTACGTTCCATAAGAAGGGTTTTTTTTACGATGTTCTTCCGATAAGCTTATTTTGATCCTTAGGATTTCCTTATTAATCGCACGGCGCTGTTAGCTCAGTGACTTTCGGAAAAATTGAAATTGAACTTTTAATGATTAGTTGAAATAAAACCTTTTATAGTCAAAACAGACTTTTATTTTGTCTATTCATAATATGAGCGAAGAAAAAATATTGGAAAACGGAAAAACACTGAATCAGAAATGTCTACCAGTGAAAAATTAGCAGATCTTATTCATTAGATTTTGATTCGTGCATCGTAAAAATATTTAATTGGAAGCACTAAACTTTGAAATCGTATTTGTAAAGGAAACCATCAGACCAACTATTTGTTACAACATTTTAAGATATGATCCATGCAATCCAGCCATTTACCTAACATCATCAGCGGCCTGATGCTTTCGTTTCTTATCTGATATTTAGCTAAACCTGAAGCCAAACATCCATCTTTAGTATTCGAGGCAAAGGAGTTTTACTTTTCCATTTCTCTTTTCTAGTGAAAGGATCATTACTGTTTTCGATTAGAAGTGAAAAAGTTAGCGAAATTTACAGACAGCACGTAGAGAAATTGACAGCTCTTTTCGTACGCAGGATTTCGGTGAATTGATTTAATACGCGAGTTGAACGCTTTTCGGCAATAAATCGCAAGTTCCTTTGGTCAGAGTTTATTATTGTTTCGCTTTACAACGTACTTTGATTGGTGAAGAAACAAGTGCTATCGATTACAGGAAGGCAAATTTTTTGTAAATTCTATTGTGGCGAATATTTTTGTCGCCCACCCTACTAAACCCTTCGATTATCCAGTGATTTTATTTGTGGCCAGACTAAGAAGTCTTTAAACTCCTCGAGAACTGAATAACTGTTTCCCGGTTGCAACAGATCTTAGAAATTTTCGTCTGATTTCATAGAGGGACGTTTGAGATTTTAATCGTTAAAATTCAATTTTGGCCATCACGTAAGAGGCGATAGCAACGGGATGAATGGCACTTATTGTGAAGTAAACCCGTTAATGTTCTGCTTTCATTTACATACATTTAGTTTTTGTCCAAAACCACCTGCCTAACTGACCGAGTTGTCAGAATAGCCACGAAGACATTAAACATGAAAGCAACTTGCTAAAATTCCGCATACGATTTTACATGACAACATCGACCTGGTGGTAACTGCAAGAATCGGAATCTTCCCAAGAGGACTTCCCCACGGCACTCCACGTCTATCAATTCCTCTCAAGCTTTGCCTGCTGAACTTAAGGCTTTAATAATTGAACATGAATTAGTTGGGTGACTGTGAA